ATTCAATAAATAATTTTTAAAAATTGAGCTATTCGTTTGTTTCTTTAACTCTTACAATTGTTTAGTTTCTAGAAAACTTAAGTCAAGAAACTTAGACGATACCAAATTTAAAAGCTCTTAAAAACCATCATAAATAAAAAAATTGTAAACTAGATTATTTATTGTAGTAAAATTTGTTATTTAAATTGAGGCTTTTATAACATAACTCGTCACCGAGAAAGGATACTACAATACAGAAAGTTTTTTGCGAATCATGTGTTTTTATATTTTTAAATTCTGTGTTATAATTTTATTTATAAAGGATAAACTATGAGCCAAACTTCAAATGATAAAATTTGTTACATAAATCATGACGAAAGGATTAACAAATTTAATCCTTAAGATAATATGTCAACGACAAAAATTTTTCAGATTACCAACCGAATATAAAGAAATTCTTTTAATTGTTTATACATGGAACATAAAGAATTGTTACGTCTCTTTTTGCATTTTGTGTTAATCTTAATCATTTATGATTTTCAATTGGACTGTATCTAATATTGACGTTACTTAAGTATTATTATTGTTATTATTATTACCATTACTATGATACACGTTTTCTTACTTAATTAGGAAACAATTCTAGTTTTTATTCAGTCTGCATGAACTTGTTTACCAATCAAATGCATAAAAAAGAAACATCTGATGTGAATATTCATAATATATGTATGTATAGCGATGAGTAGGTATACATTGAAGGTGATGTTTGTACTTTAGAGTCAATTGCATGCTTTGAATTGAGGAAGACTGTTTTTCTTAATTAATTCATACAACTAATACGTTTTCTTGTTTCTTGCGATTCTACAGAGTACTAATTTACTAGGAATTCTTTTTAATGTGCAATATTTCGATACATCGTTACGTAAGTAAGTAGATAAATAATACCACCTGCTTACCTTCACCTAAACAATATAGTAAATTGCGGTTATTACTTGGACTGTAGGTTCTATGTAGGACCAACCAATCGCCCACAAAGGTGTTTTTATTAATTTGAATTTTAAATTAAATGCATTCAAATTGTAATCGATTCAAATAAAGTAAAAAAAAAAGGTTAAGGTCATTCACCATAACGGTTCATGTTCAAATTCGCCGTTTTATAGTTTTAGCAAAAATAATATTCTGAAAATAGTAACTTCATTGTAATATAATAATGGAGCCTAGTGTTTTACGCTTTTAAAATATTAAATTTCCTCAAAATATTGTTAAGCATTTTCTTGTTGTCTTATTTTCTGTTATCTACCATCAAGTTCAAACGTTACAACGCTGAGGATTATTAATAATTTATATTTANTAATTTAGTTTAGTATAACAAGATCTTCCCCCCTATCAGTCACTGTGAGCTCGAAACTGTTAGCACCATTGCTTCGAGTGGTCGAAATTCACTTTTGTGATCAATTTGTTTAATCACTGTCTTTGTGTTAAAAATTGTTTGAAAAATTAAATTTAAAAGAATTATGAAGATTGGAAAAACTTTGACGGTTGTTGTAGAACAAACAGAATAGCTCAAAACCCCAACGCCAAAATAAGACACTGTAGTTGTCCGAAGCACTTTTCGGTAACAAAGTTACCTTCTTCAGGGACTGAAGTAAACTTCACCGAAAAATGCTTCGGACAACTACAGTGTCGTGTTTTGGCGTTGGGGTTTTGAGCTATTTTGTTTGTTCTAAATCTTTTTCCAATTTCTAAATTTAGAGTTCGCATTTTGCTGAAGGTGACTCCACTCTGCGCTATTCTTTGTTTTATATCTCTACTGCTTCTTCTATCATTAGTTATCCAACTTCCTATTTATTTTATTTTATTCAATTATTTATATTCACCCTTTCCCTTTTTATTCTTCCCTTGCATACCAATTTTTTTGTTTTACTTTTCTTTATTTTCATACTATACTGTTTTCTTATTGTTTTTCTTTTAGAAAAATGTGTACTTTACATTTATTCAGCAGTCCGATTACAAGTTTTATTACAACTCTAGTAAACAGCTGCGTTACCTACACATGTATGTTAACAACAGATGCATCTTCATAAGAACTAACTAGACATAATGGTAGACTTTTGAAGCACATCGAAACATTTTCTTCACTTTCTGTCGCTTCAGTACATAGATAGTGGTGCAATATCATCCTGATTAAGTTAAATTCCTCCTCTTTTACATGAATGAAAATTTTCTGATCGGTGACTGACTAATCAGTATAAATTAATGAAAACTTTATAAGCTAATTAGTGGCAAGAACATCGTATGTACATATAATTCTATATCAAAAGTAATTGATAATAAAATTTGAGAACAATAGCCTGATATAACGCTTTAATATGGTGCTAAAAATATTTCGCATTTTAATTCTTGAGGCGATACAAACTTTTTTCGTATACGTTTTGATTTAAAATTAGTACAAAGTAATAACTTTTTTACAAGCAGGAACAGAGGAAGTTTTAAAGGTGTGACTCAATTATTATTAATCTCTTTTACTCCGTTGAAAGGCCTTTGTGGATTAGATTACAATTCAATTGAAAGTGTCTGCTTGCATCAGAATGTAAAACTGCCAGTATGATGGTAATTTTGATCTTTATGTATAGCCATCACGAGGTTTGAATTAGAAAATATCTTTATTATACTATTGTATATATTTCAATCGAGTATGTTTAATAAGCATGATCAGTTACGTGAAGTTTTNGCAAATGTTCCAGTTTAATATTGCAGCTGGACTAAAACTGGATTTGAAAGATTCATCAGGCCAATTTCCAAATAACTTTCCATCAAATTGATTTTCAATCAAAATTACGAAATACTTTCCGAATGTTTTTTAACAATAAATAAATAATAGTATGAAATGCGCGATTCCATAAAAACAATTACACTTGGAATTTATTGAAACAATATGTGCTTTATACTTACCCGAGATAAAAATGTTTAGTCTTTCAGTCTCTAAAAGCGAGACTCGAGTCTTTCTGGTGTCGCTGAGAGAGACTGGCGACAGACTGTCAAAAAAACCGTTTAGCGTCTCTGAACAAGAGACTCGAGTCGCTTATAGAGAGATTCTCATTTCGTATCCAGTCTCTGAACGAGAGACTCGATCTCTCAATAGGTGGTGTCTCGATAGACATGGTTAAAATTTTCTAAGTTCAACATATTTCAGAGATTCCAGTCTTTCTACGAGAGACTCGAGTCTCTCAATTTTTCAGTTTTATTCATTCAGTCTCTCTGTGAGAGACTCGAATCTCTGAATTAACAATTTTATCGTTCGAGTCTCTCATACAGAGACTGTGAGAGATCCATAAAAACAC